AAAGTAAATTTATTACTTTGTAGACAAAGTTGACATTAAAATTTAAACGTGATTTTCAACACTTCAAGAACAAACAGAAAAAGAGCACAGGAATAGATACAAAGATTAATAACAATAATACGTGAAATCGTTTATAACATGATCTCACACCCCTTGTTGCAAGTAACAACAAAACAAATAAAGTGTGTATGTTTTTAAGTAAAATATTTTTTAAAAATTTTTATCACGCCACCAAACAAGTGCATCAATCATGGTAATAACTTTTTTTCTTAGGTTTTTATATTCGCAATTTTTTTTCTTTAAATATCTGACAAACAAGAAAATTTTCTTACACATTTGGGAGTCATCTAAAGACATATAAAATTTTATGATTATGCGTTCATATTATAAGTAAGAACATATAATCACTCATAGTAAAATTTGAGCTTGATGTTGTTTTTTTTTCTCAAAAAGTTTAAAACAATGTATTCTAACAAGTTTTACACAGTGTTTGCCATAAAAGATTTTGTTATTACAATGTACAGTGGGTCAAAATGATAAATAAAACAAAGTTTTAAAAAGTCACAATATCGGATCAATAGTCTTGACTACCATGTTCTAGTCTTCAAAATAATTTAGTCTATAGTCTAGTCTATAGCCTAGTCTATAGCCTAGTCTATAGTCTAGTCTAAAGTCTAGTCTATAGTCTAGTCTATAGTCTAGTCTATAGTCTAGTCTATAGTCTAGTCTATAGTCTAGTCTATAGTCTAGTCTATAGTCTAGTCTATAGTCTAGTCTATAGTCTAGTCTATAGTCTAGTCTATAGTCTAGTCTATAGTCTAGTCTATAGTCTAGTCTATAGTCTAGTCTATAGTCTAGTCTATAGTCTAGTCTATAGTCTAGTCTATAGTCTAGTCTATAGTCTAGTCTATAGTCTAGTCTATAGTCTAGTCTATAGTCTAGTCTATAGTCTAGTCTATAGTCTAGTCTATAGTCTAGTCTATAGTCTAGTCTAAAGTCTAGTCTATAGTCTAGTCTATAGTCTAGTCTATAGTCTAGTCTATAGTCTAGTCTAGTCTATAGTCTAGTCTATAGTCTAGTCTATAGTCTAGTCTATAGTCTAGTCTATAGTCTAGTCTATAGTCTAGTCTATAGTCTAGTCTATAGTCTAGTCTACAGTCTAGTCTATAGTCTAGTCTATAGTCTAGTCTATAGTCTAGTATATAGTCTAGTCTATAGTCTAGTCTATAGTCTAGTCTATAGTCTAGTCTATAGTCTAGTCTATAGTCTAGTCTATAGTCTAGTCTATAGTCTAGTCTATAGTCTAGTCTATAGTCTAGTCTATCTAGTCTATAGTCTAGTCTATAGTCTAGTCTATAGTATAGTCTATAGTCTAGTCTATAGTCTAGTCTATAGTCTAGTCTATAGTCTAGTCTATAGTCTATTCTATAGTCTAGTCTATAGTCTAGTCTATAGTCTAGTCTATAGTCTAGTCTATAGTCTAGTCTATAGTCTAGTCTATAGTCTAGTCTATAGTCTAGTCTATAGTCTAGTCTATAGTCTAGTCTATAGTCTAGTCTATAGTCTAGTATATCTAGTCTATAGTCTAGTCTATAGTCTAGTCTATAGTCTAGTCTATAGTCTAGTCTATAGTCTAGTCTATAGTCTAGTCTATAGTCTAGTCTATAGTCTAGTCTATAGTCTAGTCTATAGTCTAGTCTATAGTCTAGTCTATAGTCTAGTCTATAGTCTAGTCTATAGTCTAGTCTATAGTCTAGTCTATAGTATAGTCTATAGTCTAGTCTATAGTATAGTCTATAGTCTAGTCTATAGTCTAGTCTATAGTCTAGTCTATAGTCTAGTCTATAGCCTAGTCTATAGTCTAGTCTATAGTATAGTCTATAGTCTAGTCTATGGTCTAGTCTATAGTCTAGTCTATAGTCTAGTCTCTAGTGTAGTCTATAGGTAGTCTATAGTCTAGTCTATAGTGTAGTCTATAGTGTAGTCTATAGTCTAGTCTATAGTCTAGTCTATAGTCTAGTCTATAGTCTAGTCTATAGTCTAGTCTATAGTCTAGTCTATAGTCTAGCCTATGTCTAGTCTATAGTCTAGTCTATAGTCTAGTCTATAGTCTAGCCTATAGTCTAGTCTATAGTCTAGTCTATAGTCTAGCTATAGTCTAGTCTATAGTCTAGTCTACAGTCTAGCCTATAGTCTAGTCTATAGTCTAGTCTATAGACTAGTCTATAGTCTAGTCTATAGTCTAGTCTATAGTCTAGTCTATAGTCTAGTCTATAGTCTAGTCTATAGTCTAGTCTATAGTCTAGCCTATAGTCTAGTCTATAGTCTAGTCTATAGTCTAGCCTATAGTCTAGTCTATGTCTAGTCTATAGTCTAGTCTATAGTCTAGTCTATAGTCTAGTCTATAGTCTGGTATAGTCTATTGTTATAGTCTAGTCTATAGTCTAGTCTATAGTCTAGTCTATAGTCTAGTCTATAGTCTAGTCTATAGTCTAGTCTATAGTCTAGTCTATAGTCTAGTCTATAGTCTAGTCTATAGTCTAGTCTATAGTCTAGCCTATAGTCTAGTCTATAGTCTAGCCTATAGTCTAGTCTATAGTCTAGTCTATAGTCTAGTCTATAGTCTAGCCTATAGTCTAGTCTATAGTCTAGTCTATAGTCTAGTCTTTAGTCTAGTCTATAGTCTAGTCTATAGTCTAGTCTATAGTCTAGTCTATAGTCTAGTCTATAGTCTAGTCTATAGTCTAGTCTATAGTCTAGTCTATAGTGTAGTCTATAGTCTAGTCTATAGTCTAGTCTATAGTCTAGTCTATAGTCTAGTCTATAGTCTAGTCTATAGTCTAGTCTATAGTCTAGTCTATAGTCTAGTCTATAGTCTAGTCTATAGTCTAGTCTATAGTCTAGTCTATAGTCTAGTCTATAGTCTAGTCTATAGTCTAGTCCTATAGTCTAGTCTATAGTCTAGTCCTATAGTCTAGTCTATAGTCTAGTCTATAGTCTAGTCTATATCTAGTCTATAGTCTAGTCTATAGTCTAGTCTATAGTCTAGCCTATAGTCTAGTCTATAGTCTAGTCTATAGTCTAGTCTATAGTCTAGTCTATAGTCTAGTCTATAGTCTAGTCTATTGTCTAGTCTATAGTCTAGTCTATAGTCTAGTCTATAGTCTAGTCTATAGTCTAGTCTATAGTCTAGTCTATAGTCTATAGGCTAGTCTATAGTCTAGTCTATAGTCTAGTCTATAGTCTATAGGCTAGTCTATAGTCTAGGTCTATAGTCTAGTCTATAGGCTAGTCTATAGTCTAGTCTATAGTCTAGTCTATAGTCTAGTCTATAGTCTAGTCTAGTCTATAGTCTAGTCTATAGTCTAGTCTATAGTCTAGTCTATAGTCTAGTCTATAGTCTAGTCTATAGTCTAGTCTATAGTCTAGTCTATAGTCTAGTCTATAGATATTCTAGTCTATAGTCTAGTCTATAGTCTAGTCTATAGTCTAGTCTATAGTCTAGTCTATAGTCTAGTCGATAGTCTAGTCTATAGTCTAGTCTATAGTCTAGTCTATAGTCTAGTCGATAGTTCTAGTCTATAGTCTAGTCTATAGTCTAGTCTATAGTCTAGTCTATTGTCTAGTCTATAGTCTAGTCTATAGTCTAGTCTATTGTCTAGTCTATAGTCTAGTCTATAGTCTAGTCTATAGTCTAGTCTATAGTCTAGTCTATAGTCTAGTCTATAGTCTAGTCTATAGCCTAGTCTATAGTCTAGTCTATAGTCTAGTCTATAGTCTAGTCTATAGTCTAGTCTATAGTCTAGTCTATAGTCTAGTCTATAGTCTAGTCTATAGTCTAGTCTATAGTCTGTTCTATAATCTAGTCTATAGTCTAGTCTATATAGTCTATAGTCAAGTCTATAGTCTAGTTTGTATTCAAGTCTATAGTCTAGTCTACAGTCTGAAATTTTCCTGTGAACTGAAATGGTATATCCTTCGCTTTTATATCTAATATATCTCTTTCTTTTTCCTGCTTATATACCTTATACCTAACAACAACTGTAAACTCAGCTAATTTGCATGCCACAACCGTATATGTAAACCATAAAAAAGTAATAAAAATTTGTATTTTTGTCAAACAAAATTACTTCCAATAGGTCAAACATCCATAAAAATTTATGGTTTAATATGGAACTTTCTCTTAAGTGTCCTTAAATTACTAAAAGTTACTGCAAGCAACATTGTTTAATTTTACTTTTTGCTTATTAATAGAATATTATTTCCTTTGGCCTCTAATATGTATTAAAATGGGTAAAAATAAAGCAAAAAATATTTATTTATTTTACTTTTGCTTAATTGCACTACACTCGAGATGTTCTTACTGCTGCTGCTGCTAAATTTAATTAAGCATACAAAAAAAAACATTTGAAAATATTTTTACAAAAATTATTGTTTTCATTCTACTTATGAACACGAGTAGTAATCATCGTAAAGAGTGGTGGTGGGTGGTTGACCATAGAATTGTTGTTGATTTTTTTCGCATTTTGTTCATTTTAAGTTTTTCCTCAAAGTTGCAGCAACAAGAATATATTGCAACTAATGAAGTGTTGCTTAAATCAAGGACAATTTGAAAATGTTTGTTAGTGAAAAAAGCTTGTTGTTTTTGTTTTCTTTTTAAGTGGCAAGAATAAATAAATGAATAAATGATTTAGAGAGGAAAAACATTTGAAATGTATAAGATTTATTTGGTCTTATATGAGTAGGTAACCTTAAAAAATAATTTTATGAAACAATTTAAGCACAAGGTTAACAGCTTTTGTGATGACATAAATGCTATGGTTTGTAATTGTTTTAGGAATATTTTGTGACATTTTATAAGGATTTTGGATTTTTCTTTAGAAAAACCTTTAAATTTTTTATGGAAAAATAATGTTTTCATTTTAAATGTTTAAAAAGCACTTAATGTATACGACATGGATTAATTTTATCTTTCTCTCTCTTATTTTCTTTAATTTCAGATAAGCTCCAAGAAAAAGTGCTTCAATTAAGTGCAACGATAACAAAAAAGTTAAATTATAACAAAAAAAGCAACTATTGAGGAATAAATAATGACAACAACAATAGAGATAAGAGCAATTCATACACCTACAAAAGCTACAACAAAGACAAGAACAACAACAGAGACCAGAAAAACAAAACGAAACACTAAAAGAACAATAAGAAAAACCAAACAATTGCTTAAGAGACTACAGCAACTACAACTACTAAAAGAAAAACTGCTAAATGAAACTAAAAGTAAATCAACAGCAGCAATAACAACAACAACAAGAGAAACACGTACACAAACAAAAACACAAAAACAAAGATAAATTTGTGCAATAAAAACCATTATAAAAAGAAAGAAAATCTTCTTTTTTGCGAAAAAAACTTTACGATTTAATACCTCTTCCTCTATCCTGAAAAAAGAAGGTCTATGGAAATCCAATACAAAACTTTACAACTACCACCATTACCGCCACCTTTAGCACTACCACCATCACTACCACCACCACCCACAGCAGTCACTGCAGCAAGACAAGTTAAACCAAACGTCTCGTTACTAGAACCTTTTGTTGAAAGCTTTCAGTATACGTATTGGCATCCGCTTGACATTACAATAATACCATCGCCAGCAACAACAAACTGCAGCTGTTGTAGTGATAATGAGGAAATTAGTCATTTGCCTTTTAGTTTTTGGGCTCTACGCAATACAGACAGTAGTGGGACATATGAACAGTGACCCAGCGCCAGGACGTTCACCAGGACCACCTGTAGATTTCGCAATAAACCCAACCAGAATAACAAACGACGAAGATATATTAGACAATAACACCAGCAATAACAATAACAACAACAATGTACATGTAAATAACGATAATGTTGCTACCACTAATGCTGCAACAACATATATACAAAGCCAACAACAGCAAATAGATATTAACCACAAAAACAATTTACAACTAAACCACAATAATAACAACAACGAACCGGATGTTAAGTCGAGTGATACTGAATCACTTAATGACTCTTACCGACATTTAACAACAAACACACAATTCAATGTTCATAATAATGAGGCCAATGAAGGTGATAATGATGATAATGAACAACATCAGCAACAACTAAATAAAATTGGAAAAAATGCTAATGATGAAATAACCTCTTTTCCAGTGGCCACTGAAACATCATCTCGTTTAGAAGATGCAATTAATTTTCAATTATCAAATGAAAACAATTATCGTAGTCCTTTAGATAATAAACAGCATAAACAGAACAATGATAAAACCACATATAATTATCCAACAAATAGTGGGGAATCAACAATTACGCTTACGGAGAATAATGGCAAACAACAAGTGGAGGCGGTGGATGAGCTGGAACAGTTGACACTACAGAAAAGTATTGATTTATGCGCCAGCACACATGAAAAGTTACGTCAACATACGAAAACAATACCCGCCATATCAACTCAAACACATGCACAATATAAGAATGGCAATATGGAAACATCTTCAACAACATTGTTTTCCGCCATGCCAGCCTCCAGCTCATCAGTGTCAGCCTCATCGTCAGCAACAGCATCATCATCATCATCTTCAGCCTCTACATCATCCTCCTCCTCTTCGTCTTCTTCTTCTTCCTCCTCAACATCGTACTCATCTTGTCATTCAGATCTCAATGATTTTCTCAATGATGTTACTGTGATTGAAGTTGATGATGATAATAATGACAGTTTTACAAACGCCTCGAACACCTCTTCCTCCTCCCAAACACAGTCATTGCCACCATTATTGCAGGGCTTTAAAATCCAATTGCAACTTTATCATGATGTCTTTGATGCCTCAACCGCATTTGGCATCAACTGCGGTTTGCTGTATAAAAGTAAGTAGAAAAGTGGTTTGTGTTTTTAGAAAATAAAATAGAAAAATGTAATAATATAAATTGCACTCAGGTAAAACTGAACGTTTTTACTCGGCTCTAATATCTATTCATTTCCCAGTTGTGGTATTTTTTACTTAAAGAGCTAATACAAATTTAATTGTGCAGCAACTGGGTAATGATGTTGGGAACTTTAAGTAATTTTCTTTTAGTTTAGTAAAAATAATATAACGTGTAAAGACAAACACACTTGCTTTTTTATGCATTAGAATTAACCTAAAAAAATACAAAGAAAATTACTTAGCACTTTTTTATAAATCTTTACTATTTAATACATTATGGTTTTCAAAAAATTCCATTTATTTCTTGGAATATTAACATTGCATTGGGTCGTATGAGTAATAAAATTCTAATAATTATCATGTATACGTACATACCTATGTATATTGGTTCACAATTTGTTGAGTTCGTATTAAATGAAAATTAATTTCAAATCAATAAACAGTCGATTCATTTAAAAAATGTCGGGAAATTTTATCGAGTTTGAATAACCTTAAAATAATAAATCTCGGTTTATTCAAAGAAAGAATTGGTAATATTCACGGTAACTTAAGAATTTTTGTCGATAATCAAGCGGCACTTCTCTTACTAAACTCTTATACTACCACTTCCCTATTAGTTAGACAATGCAAGAATGATCTGTTAAGGATGGGTCGTCTGTCTGACATTACCCTTGTTTGGGTTCGTGCGCATAGGGGCTACTATGTTAATGAACAGGCAGATGAGCTTGCCAGAACGGGATCTGCTCAACGTCGTTTCAGTAGCAACTCCTTTAAGTTTTATCAAGCGCAATATCCTCAGATTCTTTCTTCAAAAGGCTGAAAATAGGTGGAATAATCTAGACCAGTGTTGCCCATACACACACTGTTACACATTCATTTGTATTGGTAAAGCAGCAGAGAACAAAATGTAACCCAAAATAAAACTGTACTAATAAAATGACTGCATACTAAAAAGTATATTCTAACTGTCAAATTGATATTATGGATTTTGACAGACAGCGTACATTAAAGTTCATATATAAAAAACTATCAGCTGTGCTCTCTCATTCACCTACATAAATTCGGCTTTCTCAAAATTTTGTTGTTGTATTTCTGTGTGGATTTTAAAAAAGTTGCGTACAGATCTTACTTCGACAAATGCTGATCAGCAACTGAGTTGATTTTGTTTTGCAAGTTGAGAGATAATCAACTAGCACATGCTCAAATAAGAAAATACACAAGTAAGCTTATAGTGTAGGTGAGTCAACGCAACGTCAGCAGAATATTCTTGCCCTATCTCGCGTGATAGGGAATAGTGATTTTGGGCACCATTGATCTAGACACATGTAAAGGGGCCAAGTTATTGTGGCCCTTCTTCAATGAGAAACGCACAAGACACCTTATAAACCGAAGTAGGCGGGACATATCGAGGCTGATAGCAGTAATAGCAGGACACTGGGTAATAGTCGAAGTTGCAAAGACAGAGAAAAGAAAGAAACGGGTTTCCATCTCGTCTGTGAATGCCCTGCACTGGCCGTGAAGAGAAACCGCTTTCTTGGCAATTATTTCATATCTAACCTTGGTGAGATATCTGAGTCTAGGCTTAATGATATCCTCAGATTTCTCACAGCTACAGGCTGGATCTAATACTATAAATACTACATCTGACGAGTGGAGTGGTCCGTTCAAAACGAAGTCTCTTCGATTCTACTTGACAGTTCGCGTGTAGTGAACTACCACGTAAACCAACCAAGTGGTTTAAGAAAGTCCTAAATTTTATATTATTGAATGAAATTTTGAATGAAGTATCGGACATAGCCCTTTTGAAAAAAATATATGATGTTTCATTTCATGAGCAAACAAAAAGTATTAATTTGTAAACTGGTATAATTTGTCTTTTAGTTATTGAGCTTTTTGCAATAGACAAAGACCTAGACTTTCACAGACCAAAATTCAAAAGTCAGTCTCTGTTAGGTCCGTCCACCTTCTAATTCCTCTTACATTCGTGCATTCAACAAACAGACAGAGAACCAATTAGATGTGAAAATATAGAAATTAGTCTCTTTACTGACTAGTGTATAGGCTAGTCCATAGGTTGTCCCATAGACTAGTTAATAGGCATAAGACTAAACAATAATCTACTTCTTATGATGACCAATAGCGAGAGGATTTCTTAAAATAAAAAAGTAAGATTACTATATACGACTATGACGAATCTTATACACCCTTCACTAAGATGTATTTAAAAAAAAAAAAAAACAAACAATACTAATTTTATTACAAAAAAGTTAAAGAATACCAGCGAAAAACTACCAGTTCTTATAGATTTTCATTCAATCAGGGTGCTGCGCGTATGCCTAGAGACCAAAAAGTACCAGTCATAAAACGAAAAAGTAACAAAAATTATTTTCTAAAAAAGTTCATTAACTTACGACTCTTAATGTATAATTTCATGTTTATGGGTTCAATATTATAGAAGATTCAAATAGTACCCTTCGAAGAAAATTCAAAAAGTACCTTTTAAAGATCGAAGAAGTACCAAAAAGTCCTTTTTTATACGTTCTCATCTACTCCAAACTCTACATGCTTTATTTCATGTGTCTAAGTTTAATATTATAAAAAAATCAAAAAGTACCTTTTGAAGAATGAAAAAGTACCAAAAAGTCCTCATTTATAGATTCTACTATTCATCTACTCTACTCATAATGTTTCTAGACAAAAACACAGCTTCATTTGTAACGTGTAACGTCTGTTACTCTGCTTTGTTTTTATAAAGTAAAAGAACAAGATTTTACATGCAGATGCATAATGTTGTTGTTTATTATTTTTGTCTAAGCATGCTCCAAAAATCTTAATTTTGTATTAAATATTTTCAAAGGTTATCTCTGATTTGGGTGATTTTACATTGGAATCTTCTCCAAAGCATATGTATGTTAAAGATTTGGGTCCCGTAGTTGTCTGTGGACTTCAGGAAATTGATTTCAACAAAATAACGTCGAAATACGTACCACTGTGATGAACTCTAAAAAATATTTTAGTGAGATAAGACTTCCACTATTATTTCCATTTTGAAGGCGTATACGTAATATTTATCTAATTGTACGTATGTATATTATTCATACGTATACTGCAAAGGTGAAAAGAAACGCTTATTGAAAACTGAAATAAATCCTTTAAGATTGCAAATATATCCCTTATATCGGAAAAAAATATTGCTCGAATTTACAAAAAAAAAAATCGATAAAGATTGAAAAGATATAATGGAAATTCCATTTGAAACTTTATACATCTTATCCTAAGTTTAAAAAAAAAAAACGGAAAATATAACTTCTGTTTTAACTCACTTTAAATTTCATTCTTAAAAGAAAACAAAATTCAAGTTTTGGCTGTTATCCACATGTAGCTAAAGCCAATATTATCAATTTATATCAGACATAAAAACTCTTTTATGATACTTAACGACAAAAAAGGAAAATAATATGTATATATATATATATATATATATATATATATATATATATATATATTAGGGTGTCCTCAAAATGAAAGTTAATAATGTTGCCGCCGAAAATGAAAACTTAATTTCTTGTAACATTGCTCAAATGTTTGGACCCGACTTCCATAATTACTCCACTGATTAAAAGGATAAAATGTTTGAAAAGCGCTATGTGAGACACAAAAAGAATGAACCAAGCTTTTATTTTCGGTACTCCTTACCAAAGATGCCACCCTAATGTACATATATACATTCCTTTTTAACAGATTAAAAACAAGGAAGACATAAACAAAATTATATTCCTTATACAACAAAGTACCACTTTAATGTAGTGCAAATATTTAATGCAATTTTGTTTCTTCCTCTTTTTTTCTGCAACTTCTAGTATTTCAGCTGAAACCAAGAGCAAAAAGAAGAAAACAATTTAAAATGGAAAATTTATTTTAATGATTGTGAGAAAAAAGAAAATTGCATAAGTATGTTGGAAAGTGTTAATTTACTGACATTTTATGTTAAAATGCAATTCAAACAGAAGAATAAAATTCAATAAGTGCTGTAGCACAAAAATAAAAGCAGTAGTATTACAATCATTGTTAAATGGATTTTAAATATCAAGTGTTAACAATTGGTATTAAAGTTACCAATGTGTCTGTTTTGTGTTGTTGATGTTGTGAACGGAAATGTATACTTACATAAAGATACACATACACATACATATATGTTTATGTGAGTAAAAGAATGACTCCAAAACGGCTGATATTTTTATTTGGTATCGCGTAGTATTTTCCATACGATAGCATTTTTTAACACAAATAATTTTAATTACTTTACGATGTGTGTAATTTTTATTTATACTAAACTTAAAAAAGTTCTACTAAATTTCTAGTTAAAACAAATTTGAAGAAAAAATTAAACTTAATACATTCATTTAAAACTTTAAATATACATCATTATTATTGTACAAAATGTTAATGAGTTTGCTGGGTATTTGCAACTCTTACAAAAACTAGAAGAGAAAACCACAAAAAACGTAATACGTCGAACATTCATCACTTTGCAAAAAGCCCTCACTCACACCTCAAACACACAAGTATTACAGCATATTGGCAGGCGTTTTGGTAAATGTTTTACTAACACGACCACCAAAAACTCATTAGTATGCTATGCGATTTAAATTTTATTTTTTCGGTGAAAATTTTATAAAACTTTTAGTTTTTCGTTTTATAACTCTGGCCCTGCATGAAAGTGTAAATTGCAATTGAGAGTGAAGGATCTTTTTTAAAGCCAAAAAAAAAACTGGATGAAAGTTTTGCACTTGTTTAATATTTCGTGTATTTAATGGTGAGAATTTCGGTAAAATGCAGCGAAAATAGTTAAGGGCCTTTAGGTAAGTGTCTCAAATTAGGAGAAGTTAACTATAAACCAGCAATATGCAGTACAAAACATACAACTTCGAAAGTAATAAC